TGTCACGCCCGCTTCCCAAAATACCTGGGAATTGGAACGTGGACAAGCCCGCGACGTATTAGATTAAGGAGAATAAATAAAAATAAACATTTCTCCTCAACCCAATACGCTAAGCGTCTAGAAATAAATACAATGCGAAGTCACAAATCCCCGATCATAATTAGCAAGAATATAATGAACAATAATAAAATAATACATATCATAAATGAATATCATCCAAGACATAATATTCAGGAATACATGCCCTTATACATATCTGAACAAATGAATACTAAAGAAATATGAAATACATTGTTCAAAAAAATAGAAGGGAAAAGACTACAAAACAACTAGGATCATCAAATACGACGAGATACTGAACTTCGGCCTATTCTTCAATTCTATCTGCAAGACACTCCTGCTGAGAATCCTTTGGCTCCTGGCAATCTCCCAGCTAAAACTGTTTGTCACGCCCCGCTTCCCAAAATACAGGGAATCGGAATGTGAACAAGCCCGCGACGTATTAGATTGAGAAGAGATATACACTATCTTTTTTTTCTTTTCTTTTTTTTCTTTTCTTTTCTTCTCAATCCAATACGCTAAGTGTCTAGAAATAAGTACAATGCGAAGTCACAGGTCTCCGATCACACATAGCAAGAATATAAAGACAACCCAGAATAAAAATAGACATATCATCAATGGTAAATCATCCCAGACATAAAACATGGGTCAAACGTACCCTTATTACAACAACAGTTCAACTAGGAAATAAGAAATACATAGTCCATAATAAAAGGAAATAAAATAACTAAATCTATCATCAAACTAAAGAAAAGTGCGGTAAAAGAGTTTTAATATCCAACTACTACTACAGAAGAAAATCACTACGCTTCAGTTGGTTCTTCTACTCCTTCTGCAAGACACCACTGCTAAGAATCTTCTGGCTCCTGTACTATCCCGAACTGAGGCTGCTCATCTCCTAAATCTGACGTACACCCAGAAAATAGGGGTACGTCAGCGTGTAAAACACACGGCAAGATCCCCCAAGGCAGGAACAAATACAATAACGATAATGATAATATATGCGTGGTCAATGCGATAACAGAAATAAAAATAGAAAATGTGATGATAGTAATAACGATAGAGGCATGCAACTGGAATACTAATAATCAAAAGAATCCAAAATCAACCAAGTGACAAGATCATGCAGGTAGCGATCAGAAAACATCCAAGCAACAAGGTCATACAATAGATGGAATTAATACTTAAAGATCTACAACTCGAGACGTAGTACGTCGAGCGAAATAATCCAAACAAGGAAACTCTCATGTATATACCATACGTCTCAAATTGTAGATAATTAAATATTAACCCCAATCTATGTATGAAACGAACACAACTAGTCATCCTATCACAACTCACTGGTTCACATCTCACTAGAGTCAAGGTTCATATTCTCGGATAATTGATTGTTCACCAAATCATTTACGTACAACTTTTCACTACCCCCCTCAGACCCACGCCAGCGCTACACAGGAATATCGTTGGTGCGAGCCTGGAAATAATCAATAATCACAATATCATATCACCTCAGACCCACCCAAACGCTACACGGGAATATCATTGGCGCGAGCCTGGAATAATCAACAATCAATATCACTGCACCTCAGACCCACCCCAACGCTACACAGGAATATCGTTGGTGCGAGCCTGGAATAATCAACAACCAATATCACTGCACCTAAGACCCACCCCAACGCTATACATGAATATCGTTGGTGCGAGCCTGGAATAATCAACAATCACATCCGATCACCTAAACCAGGAATTCCCCGTCTCAATTCTTCTCGCTTTTCTAAGTCAACAAACAGAGGCATCTAGGTCCTATACACGACACGCTAGGCCACTAAGGACATGAACTACTAACGGTTATCAACAAAACAAGAAATAATAAATAAATATAACTATTTTATGCAAATCATATTATGAACATGACTATATAGACTAGCGATGAATCAGGTATACAAATATGACAATGAATGAGTATAAATAAGAGTGTCAACATGTTGGTGTTAATGTACATGAAATGTCGTGTTCTACAACTATCAATCACACGGTCATAACACAAAAATAAACTTTTACCAAAATAACTTCTTTGAAAACACTCATCATTCTAAAATAAATTCCTTCCACAACATAAATTCTAAAAATATTATAATAATTTTTGTTATTCAAAATAAATTCTTTAATTTATTATATTTGTCCTGAAAATACTATTTATCCCATAATTACTATCCATTTAAAATTATTCATCAAATCCACACAGATAAACATTAACAGATCTAAAATTACAGATAATTCATAATAAATAGAAAAATAGTTCTGAGCAAGCGGGATCTTGCCTACGGGTTCGTGTGGTCTGATGACGAGACGACGGTGCCATGAAGCTGCTGGAGCGCGGAGAGAGCGACGGTCGGATCTCTGAAGGAGGGCAGCGAGGTGTGGGCTCACGGTGGAGCTACTGGAGGTCGGAGACGAGGGTGAGGGTTGTGGTGGTCGGTAGAAGAGGGGGGGGAGGAGTAGGGTGTCTGAGGCATAGACGAGGCGCTGAGCTGTCGATCGGGTTCTGGACAGCGAACTCGAGCGAGCGCAGGCAGGCTGTTCGGCGGCCGAGTCGCAGGGCGACGGCCTGAAGGAAGACACGACGCTTCGGCCGACGGCTTTGTGTCAGTGCTGGTTGGAGGCGACCGGGTAGAGGTGGGGTTGGCAGGGCAGTGGCGCGGATGAGGTGGAGGAGCAGGCCGGCGGCTCGAAGAGACCGAGGCGGCGCGTGCAGGTGAGCTCCGGCGAGAAAAGGCGCTTGGGCGAAGGCAGGGCCAGCGGTGAGGAGCACGACGGCGTGGGGCTCGAGATCTGGGCAGGGGCAGGCGGAGACGGCGAATGGGAGGGGAGAGCTGAGCCGGAGGTGGACTACGATGAGCTTGGGGCGGAGGCCGAATGGAGGCTTGGTCGTGGTGGGAGAGAGGGGGGGTGGAGCTCGGTGATGAGGGAAGCAGCGGAGGAGGAGCCGTGTTGGGAGTCGACGGTTGGGCGGCACTGGCGTGGATGGAGTTGGTTTCGTTTTGGGTTTTCTT